TACGCCTGTCCTAAGACATGTCCAGACAATCTTCAATTCAATCGCTACACCGAGGAGTGTGTTTGGCCTGAGAAGAGCTGGTGTCTCGTCGATGATAACAACTTCGACGACATCTCCAGCGACACCGACATCGACGTCAACGATACCACCGATGATCCCAACGATCCTAACGATGAACTCAACTGATTGTGTCATTACTTGTATTGTAATGTTTTATATAATGTTTTGTATCATTTTATTCACACTTAAAACCATTTTCTAACTATTAAACTGTCCGATCATTTTATAGCCTAATGCAAATCATTAATCAAAAGTTATGTTTCTTATAATTTGTTTAGTTTTACAAACTTTTCTAATAAAATGCAAGTTTAGGGGAGTTTTGTGTAACTTTGAAATAGTTGTCGTATTTTACGAATAAATGAATTGTTTGTGAAAACTATAGAAACACTAAACATATGATTGCTTGCAATGAATGCATCAAACAATTGATGCATTCATTGAAAATTGACTTTAAAATCACAATTAATGCCAAAGACTTTGTGTTAAGTGTAGACATGGACTAACCCGTTGTGGACATCACTGGACTATCACATCCCACACACAATGGTGTCTAAGTTGTTGTTTCTGAAGTATTTGTCACTATTAGTGCTGACAATACAGACGACAACATTAGTAATGATATTAAGGTTTTCGCGGATCAGTTACACACCAAATGAATCCCATTATATCAGTAGTACTGCTATAGTGTTGAGTGAATGCATCAAACTTGTGGTCTCTCTCCTCATACTCGCACTTCAGTCCAATTGTGAGACAATCACCACAACCACATCCACTCACTCACCATCTCTTTGCCTGTCTTTAGGTTCGTCTCAAAAAGTGATACAACTCTTGAACAATGAAGTGGTGGCCAAACCTCGAGAGACGGCCAAATTGTTGGTACCGGCGCTGTTGTACACCATTCAGAATAACCTCCTATTCCTAGCCCTCACTAACTTAGACGCCGCCACATATCAGGTCTGTCTCTGGTCTCTGTGACCATCGCTTGTGTTCGTTGACTAACATATGGCCAACTGTTTTGTACCATTAGGTGACATATCAGCTAAAGATCCTGACGACAGCCCTGTTCTCCGTATTTATGCTTCACAAGAGACTGGCTGTCAATCAATGGCTATCATTGGTATTACTCACGATTGGCGTCACTTTAGTCCAGTGGCCCCAAAGCCCTCAGAGTCCGTCCGACAAATTGGATGAAATGTCTGAAGCGATGACCGGTGCGGAGGAGCCGGTGGGCAACCGGTTGTTGGGAGTGACGGCTGTGTTGGCCTCATGTTTCTCGAGTGGCTTCTCCGGTGTGTACTTCGAAAAGTTAGTCAAATATACCTCTCAGTCCCTATGGATCAGAAACACACAAATGGCACTCTTCTCAGTCGTTATCGCATCCATTGCTATGTTTTTACAAGACTTTGATCTCATTTACGCCAACGGCTTCTTTCAGGTGTCCTTTCTATCTATAAATTACTTATATTTGAAATATTAATTATATGAATGTTATATATTAAGGGATACACATCGTTGACATGGATTGTGGTGTTATTGCAAGCATTTGGTGGTCTCGTAGTGGCTATTGTCATGAAATACGCCGATAATATTCTTAAGGGGTTTGCGACCTCCATATCCATCGTATTATCCACTGTTTGCAGCGTTTACCTGATGGCAGACTTTTATCCCACAAATTCCTTCCTTTGCGGTGCTTTTATTGTCATATTAGCCAACATTCTGTACGCCTGTTAGA